CCTGTTTCAGCGTCGACTGAGTCCTACGGAAATAATACACGCTGTATGTATCCTCTGTTGCCATGCCACATTACCCATTGCAAATAGTTTTGTTTGATACCTATTATATTATTTTTTAACTAAACACAATGTGTACTTTGCAACTCTAGTCCATGTCATATTTTTTTAACCTCCAGGGTGACCATCGTACTCTTTCACTTTATGATTATTTCGGCTTCATAACTGTAACGGAAAACTCAAAATCAATTTATAGTAAAAAATCTCATTAAAAATCAATTACGACTTAAAATCCAATGAGCTATTAGTTTCCATAGCGATCAACTGCAAGACAGTGGATATAAATTCATATTTAAGAATAAATATTTTACTGTATAGTTATATGACTTATTTAAGATAACTCTCAATTTTTTTATGTAAAATAGACGAACTAATTGTCTTAATCACAATAATGAAAAATTAATTGATGATACTTCTGCATCTATAAAGCCCTTATAGGATAGAAAAAAATAAAGGAAATAAAGCCAGGGAAAGAAAGTGAATGTGAGTATAACGGAAGTAATCATATATTTGAAATTGAGAGTAAAATTATTATAAGCGATGAAAGTTGAACAATGATAGACTTTGTGGATTATGATTGAATACTGAAGCAAGTGTGTAGATGCTACACGACTCTTTGTGAAAGAATTCGCCCAGGGAAGTACTACCACCTTACCTATTTCTACCGCAAAGCAATAATTTACCGCATTACATGTTTTGAAGGGTATGTTGTGTTGCTTAAATTTCAGGCACATGGGACTTGTCAACTTATGTTTCAGGGTAACAGGTTGAGCGCAGTGGCAGTGCCACTCACATCTTTGTGATCATGATGATGTGATCATCTCTGAGTGACGCTGCAACTGTCATATAGGTTATCCTACGCTTGTTGATGTTGGGTACAGTAGAATAAGCTTGTTAAGAGAAGTCAATGCTGTATGAAATGATTGAATAGGATGTGTACAGCTCCTTTGAGGTGTACATAAAGACACAGAATAAAGACTTTCAAGACTTTTTAGAATTTGGTGTGAAAACTAATGTAATGATAACGATAGAACATGAAATGCTGGTTTAGTAGAATGCTATGAAAAAAATAAATAAGATTGACAGAACAGTCGTCATCATTAGTCGTCGTCAATCGTAGCAATACAATTGCGGAGCTATGTCTACATCAGTAAGAGACAAAGTTAATAATGAGTTTTTACTTTTTTATTTTTTTTAACTTTGTCAAGTGACGGGACGAACAAGTCGTGCACCACAGTTGCAGTGTCACTCAGAGCATTAAAACACAAAGATCTGAGGGGCACTGCTACTGTGTCTGTCACCCTTAGACATAAGTTGACAAGTCCCATGTGCCTGTAATATTAAGTATGTATATCTTACATTTTTTTATAAACACGCAAAAAAACGCCTTTTTAAAATCAAATCATTTAATAACTTACTAATTAGTCTTTACGTGCAAATAGACGCAAAACTCAAATGGCCGACTAAAACCACCTAGAGTCTTATATTTGAATGATTAATTTTAATATTTTACTAATATTCAACAAAATCCCTATGAGTTTTATAATATAACAAGTATAGGTATAGTAAGTAGAGGTTAAAAAACAATTGAACACGTTTTAAGCTAGCAACTAGAAGTTCCGACTAGGAGTATCACAACAGAGAATTAGAGTTTAAATCCCAAGTAAATAATTGAAGTATACCACACAAAATGTGCGCAATAGAGGTACAAAAATTGTGCTGAATACATTTCATAAAAGTTTTACACATTCGATGTAAAAGAAGTAAACATTTAATATTTTAGAATTTATTTTAGATTTTTACACTAAGATGAGACCCGTGAGCGAACTTGTCGTTGAGAATTAGATTTAATTCCAAATTACACTTAATTTTAACATTCTACTAACAAACTATTCTAGGAATTAAATCCTCTAATGTATTTTTTCCCTAATTATTAAATTAATTGCATTAAATGTTCATAAATGGTAACATTAACTATTCACATACATACAGCGTTACATAATCATTCAGCGTTCAAAATTTTTCTTTACCTGTTTATCCATGTAGGCCAATTACATTTTCTAGTTAGTTTTTATTACAAATACTCTACAATGTCACATTTAATAGAAATATTAGGACAACTGACTCCGTAGCTTAAATTCAAGCTGTGTGGCTGACTTTTATGTCTTTCAGTGAGAAGTTTATGGAAGATAGGCAAAATTGCACATTCGAAAAGTTCAGACTCTGAGCTAGCTGTATACATCTTCCTTTGGTCCGTAGAGTCTTGGCGTTTAGAATCGCTTCTACTGTAGTTCGCAGATTTACGTTCTTCCCTTTTGTTTGGGGAATCTGCGAAAATGAAACGGTTTCACGTTAACATTGTTAAAAAAGAAACTGCTTAGAACATATATAAAGTCGCACTATATTGCCTTCGCCGACTTTCTTAAATGAAAAAGGAACACTGCTAGTTGAGAAAATTAAAAAAATATTAACATGAAAATTAAAATTTAGTTGAAAGTATCTCGAACTGGCAACACTTATGGTAACTCTCAAGGAAGGGAATTCGCTCTGGGCCTTTTGGAGGGAAAAGTGTCGTTTTTATTTTGACTTTCAATTATTTTGTGAAATCTAGTTTAAAGTGGAATAGCATAGTTCTATTGTGCCTTAATCGAAGATTAAAACGCGGAGTTATACGAATCTCGAACTAAAATACCCGTATCGGCCCGTTCTAAGGAATCCCGAGTCAATGCAAGCACGCCGCCTCATGTTGCCTATCCTCTTTGTAGCGGCCATATTTACAGAAACATAATTAAACGAAGACATGGCTCAAAATACTTATATCCAAGCCAAAATTATGAATAAAAAAAAAATCGAGGAAGGAAGGAGATGTCATGGCGGTTAGTCATTTTTCGTTACATGATGTTAAAATTGTAAAAATACAATTTGAATGAGAATAATTCTAATAATTACCAGATTTATTTCTTGAGGCAACATTGGGGCTGCTTTTATGATGATTTGGCCTAACTTGCTTCACTTGACTTTGTGCTTGCGTCAATCTAGGTGAATCTCCTACGCCTTTTGCTCTTTTCAGAGGTTCTGCCTCTTGCCTAAGCCTTTTTGCAGGTGAATCTTGACTTTTTGCGACCCTGATAGTGTCAGGGTCTGGTCGCCAAGAGTCAGCTTCTTTAGGTTCCGGTCTGATTTCCATGAGGGGTTTTCTTGGGATGTCATCGTGACGGCGAGTGTCTGACTTATCTGTCTTTTCCCTTTCTTCTTGGTAAGATCGCACCTGTGAATAATAATAATAAAAAGATTTACATATCTGACTAAGCATTGAATTCTTTCTGAATAAAAACCCAGCATTTTGAGTTTAATGTAATGTCGAAATGTTACTTGTGCTGAAGACTGTCTTCTTTTAGTTTGAATTTGATGTGGTGGAGTGCTTACTGGCTGCGGAAACTCTGACCCTCGCCTCTGTAACATAATAATATCATTAAGTTTTTGTGCACATATACTTTTGTAAATTAGCCTTTACATTATTCCTATTAGGTACGTTTCTTACCTTTGACAATTTGTCGGTCATCTTGAGGGTTTCGGCTTCCCGATATCCTTCAGGAGTGCCTCCTCTCGTTGTGCCCGCTGAAAATAAAAACGAGTGTATTGTAAAAGAACAGAAAACACCATAGTTTCATTTGAAGGGCACGGAAAGCAATATTTGAAGCTTTAATTTACCATAATTAATAGAAGCGTTCGAAGCTCTCCTCTCCAAGCTTCTGCTGTCCACTTCCCTGCTAAAACAATAAGGCGAAATTAGTTGAGCTTAAAATTATAGAATTGAAGCGGTATTTCTCTATTAGCCAAAGAAGTTTTTAGGCCAATCTAGATAAAACCTGTGATGATGTGGGGATGATTGTTGGCGGCTTTTCTCTGATACACTTCTTTGCATTGGTGAATGATGATGCCCTGAAAAAGGGAAATTAGTACTATATGTTTATGTTATCCATGGTTCTATTAATTTGTAAGGTCACTAATTTGTAAATCAATAAATTGGCACACAACTGGTGGAGCGCTGCACCCGTGGTAGGTTTTTGAAGTCTGAAGGGTTGAATTCTTCATGGTTTTTATTCTTGGTATCTGGCTTTTGGTTAAGAGTTAACGAAGCGTTGTCATTGTCAGTATATTACCTGGTGGTGACTTTTGGCAGGTGTACTGGAATGTATTAGTGTCCCACAAATCGCTCTGGACCACTATGTAATTCTCCTTCTTTCTCTTCTCTGAATCTCTTCTCTGACCTGCAAAGATTGACACATTGAAACGCTCGTAGCATCCTGTATTCGGCCGTATGTTAAGATTGACAGTGGAGCGAGATTTCACTTAAACTAACATTGGCGTCGAGTGCTCTCTGACATACAGAGATTATATTGTACCTAGTTTTGCCACTAAAGAAACCTACAAAGTTCTTCGATTCAATATGTTACTACACACTAATTTCACTGAAATACTGTCTGTATTGACAAATAGAACCCGATTCACGATTTCAAGTTAGTTTACTTACAAGCTTTCTTTCTCTCAGCTGTCGAGTAATCACGGTCTAAATCCAAAATATCTTCGGGTTCTTGTTTAGGCTTCACTGGCGGAGTCGGGTCCCTTTCTTGCCCTAGAAAATTACGAAATCTAAAATCTCTGCCGATTTTTTTTGCAACTATTCGATGTGATATTTGATCAAAATCACGAACTATCATCATGTGGTTTATCTGTGGCCGAAATCGTCATCATATTAGGCTGTCGCAAAAAGATTTGGAACGTATTGTTAGTGTGCGACATGTCTAGCAAGTAAAAATAAGCTACATCTACTATTTAATTAATAAAATATCTACCCAGTAAACGTTTTATTATTTTTACTCTGTTCTTCTGTTATTCGTATGTTTCAATCGTTATTGTTCTTATTTATACAATATTTGGTACTAACCTATAACCTTCCTCTCCATCCCTGGGGGCGGCTCCACATCGTCCTGGTCCACGGATACATGCATTAGGTCAGTTAGCAAAGCAGCTTGACTGACACTGGACATTCTTCTGTGACTTCGAGGACCTGTCTTGAAGTCTCTTGGGTCCCGAGGTGCTGACTCCTGGGTTTTTACAGTCTTCTTTTGCAGTTCTGGAGTCTGTTGGTGCCATTAATAGAAATGTAGATATATATTCTATGTTATTTTGTGCCTCTAATTTATATGGTATTGGATCAGGTTATTAATATTATCACCATGTGGTATATCTGTGGCCGAATTTTTCATCATGTCTGAGTATCTTCAAAAGGCCTTGAAGAAGACCCACTATTACTTACTCTGCTTTATTTTAATATGAAAGTTTGTTGAGATATTGAGAAACAAATCATTTGATGAATTTTTAGTATATAAAAATGTCACTTATTTAAAAAATAAACAGTAACAGAAAAAGTCTAGTTATTGCAATGTTGACTTAACAATTACTGATACCTTATTAACTTTAGGTGTGGCTGCTTTAGTATACATTGGTTCCTGGACCTTGGCAGGTTCAGACTTGGCAGTGGGCGTGACGCTTTGTTTCAGTGCTGGAATAGTCTTTGCTTCCGCTTTCGCTGGTTCTGGGGTTTTGGTTGCAGGTTTAGGAGGCTCTGAGGGTTCCTTGAGAATTATTGTATTGCTTTACACGTGTTTTTGTATTTATATAGTAGCGGGTTCACAAGGATAATGGGTAGTTCGGAAACTTATGCGTGTACTGTTATTTTGTTAAAAAACTAAAACTATTCCCAAAACAGAGAGAAGGCCAAAAACATCATTAAAAATATTATAGATATTTAAACCATGTGTTGTTACATGCTTCTGATACACTCCTTTTAGATAATATGGTTACAGTCTAAATCAGAATAATTTCTTACCTCCGCTGTCCAACCATACGGCAACTTTGCGAGTTGATCTTTTTCTAAAACAGGTTTAGATGACGGTGGGCTAGTGTAATCTAAGTGGTTCTTGAATGATACATTCTTTGTTTGTTCTTTTTTGGGCTCTTTAGGTGGTTCTTTTGCTTCTTTTATAGGTTCTGGAGGTGCAGATGGTTTTGGTCTGAAAAATAATGCTGCTTTCAATTATTGTTTCCCAATGTGTTCTTATAATCTGATGAATTGATCCAGTGGTCACCCGCCTAATGCCAAAGTGGTATCTTCGGTAAAGAAAAAAGATGTACGTAATTCACACACATCCATAAATTCAATAATTTCTTCAATATTGTTAAGAGTATCTTATGTCACTCATACAACATCTCCAAAACATCAAAGAAGATAAAAGAAAACTCGTCACCAACCTATCAGTCTGGTTCTGTAAATTGATGTATTCAGCCTCCGCGCCAGCTGAAGCACTGAGGCTACACACCGAAGTTATATCACTGGTTTCTGAAATTCCAAAGAAATTTTCATTGCCTTTCAAGATCCGTAGATAATTTAGGTCTACAAATAACTTATAGTGCAGTAAGTGAAAATGGCTTAGGAGCTTACCTGGATGGCTGATGTTGTCTTTCGGTAGAGGCAGTCTTGTTCGTTGCGTAGCTGGCGAGCGGGAGTCGCCTCGAGTGGATGAGTCAGATCGAACGTCTTCACCAAGTTTGCTCAGTAACATCTAGAAGAATGGTATTCATAGTTTTTATTTCTCGAATTAACTTATTGTTTCCATGTACCTACATTGTTACCGAGAGTTTCGCGAGTTCTGTCCTAGCTACAATCAAGGGAATTCAGAGTGAGTGATTCGGTTTTGTTTATGTATGTGTAGGTGGCATCATTTTGTAAGTTTAGCTTGCAAGGCTGTACACATTATGTACTTCATTTCATTATATTGCCAAATACTACATAGATTACCTGAAGTTCGTTCTCCTTCGCCTGTAAAGTTCTTCTATATCGGTTATTATACTGCCTGAGTTCTTTCATCCGTCTTTCTAATTCAGGTCCTGGCGATCGGCATTCATGAGTGGAAGCTGGTCGAAGAGTTGCCCTAATGCGAGATGGAGCTGCACCTGGTTGACCGTTTCGTCGGAGCTCAAGAAGCTGGAAATAATCAGTAATAAGGTAATCTGATACATGTATCTATAAATATATGCAAAGCAAATTGTAAACTCAACATGAGTTTGTTTACCTTTGGTACAAACACTAAACACAAAGTAGCAGTAGTGCAGAAAATTATGAAGATGGCAATAAGCACAAATAACGCATCTTTGTGGTCCGTCAAAACCTGAAAAGTAACGATTTCCTATAAATTTAATTCCAAAAGAGGCACAAGGATTCACAGCCGTCTTAATGCCAATATGGATAAAAACCGAACGTTTTAAAAACATCAAAAAATCTATCGAGTTCTCAGGTTTTCGTGATTGTTACACATAGGAAATAAAAATTTTTCCGGATTTAAATCGCGTCGACTGGTAACCGTGGCCATGTGACATGTAAAGGGCCCAAAATTGGTTTGTTTGAAAAAACAAATATATGTGATTTCAATAAGGAAAATATTTAACTTCCCATCAAAAAATCTGCCAACTTTGGTCTCAATCTTATTTTGTTTGACGCAAGTCACAAACCCGATTCTTAAGAACAATTTTACTTACCAGCGCAATTGCGGCACCCATAATACACATGATAAGCACATTATAGACTGATAAGCCGATATGCTTTGAATCGTTCAAAGCCGGGATGGAAACGTGTCTCGTTTCCCAAGCAAGAAATGCTCCGAATACCTGAAATGTAAAATGAGGATAGAAACTAAACGCCGATAAAGTTAAACAATGCGACAAATGGCTTTCGTCTATAGATGTGTAATGAACACGTATGCAAGATTATGGTAAATGTATTTAATATGTGCAGGGATGTACTATTTAATTGAAGTTATTAATTGGTAATTAGCCAATGAATAGTAGCCATAACAACAATAGTTCACCTATAAGAGATAATAATATTCAAAAAATTAATATTTTAACTATACGAGTTAATGATATAAATCTTACTAATAGTAGACCCTTGTAAGCGTATATAATGCCTATGAATATAGACATTCTTTCGGACTGGCAGTATTCATTCTCTTGTACTATTACTATGTCTTCGCTGGATGGGTGCGGCTGAGAATCAAAGAAATACACAAATTTATTTAATGTTCAAAACAGCATAACGTAACTAATAAAATCTATACACATTTTCCTTGAAGCCAACTGCTACAGCAGTAATTATATATAGTACTTACATAAGGTTCTAGTTGTTTGGTAGCTCTGTAGAATGGATCAGAGACCTGCCAAGTAGTCATGATGGCAAGATCAACGCATAACAGCACGCCCACCACCATAAAAAGCTGATAGTCTTTGATGACCTGTAAACGAATAGAAAAATTTATTATGTGGATTGATTGTAAATAATTTTTTAGACTACATACGGTGACAATGCTGGATTTATGTAATAACAATCCAAACAAATTCTGTTGTAAAGAATAAGCGTAGTTTTAATGAAAATTATAAAAAAATTACGAACCTTTTTGTTCAACTTAACGTCGGTGAAGATTGAATGAACTCGCCAAGTCTTGGAAAACATAGCGCCAAAGGCCAAGCTGAAGCCGGCCATCAGAAGCCAGGCTCTCGCTGTGCAGATGTACGGGAAAGCAGCTGTAGGTGATACAACAATAGGGTCAATTGTAATTAATGAGATCTTTTATCATTAACCTGAGTTTAAAATTAAATAGGTTAAACTAGTGTTTTAGTACGTATTTTAAGATACCCACCAAATTATCGAAGATAATTATGTATAAGGAGCAAGCTATGGCATGGTTTATGATCGAATTATAGAAACACATTCAATCAAAGAAAAGGAAGTTTTAAGCATGAAACCCAAACTCGAAATGGATAGAAAAACTTGACGGAACACCAAAGCAGACTTACAGAAGCGGATGTAATGTTGACCAGCACACCAAAATATCCACACACCATCGATAAACTGCGCGGATGAAAGTAAAGGAAAAAGTAACCAAAACTTGGAAACATGCTGACTCCTGTGACCTAGAAAACAACCTAGGCCTTTCTCAGAAATCTAAACTAGGGGTTCCCAAAGTTTGGTTGGCAGGTTCCACATAACCCGGGGTTAAAGCTCAAGCTTTGGGATTGGGGATCAAGCTGTTTTACCTCCACGCTCTGTTTCCTGAGAAAGACCTAAGGATCAATGAACACGATGAGATCAGATGACGTAATGGCGTGAATGATGATGTGCTAGCGACATGCGAATCGAAAGTGCTGGAAATTTAAATTTATAATTTCAGTTTAATTTTTTTCAAACGTGTTTTGGTAGATTGAACGAACGGTCTTTCTGTCTATATCATAACTACTCAATATTGCAAGACAACACATTTTTTTAAGCTGGTATGCTACGCTTGTTTAATCACCAGAACGTGTTAAAATTATTAGTTAAAGTTTACCTTCGATCCGAAAAGACAGAAAACATAAAGATATTTATGACATTGCGATAAGGAAAGACAAATAGATATGGGAACGGAAGATTTGATGATACATACCGATGCTGCTGAGACTGGAGTCAAGGCCAAGGAAGATGACGCTCAAGTACGTGAGCATGCAGCCAATGATGATCAGGTTATTCAAATGCGGCGATGACATCTTTATATACCTTGGGAAAATATAAAGTTATTTGATTTTCTGGCTTTGGTCTGTTTGTTGGTTATTTTCTAATTTTTGATATAGTGAAAGTACGAACAAGAAGAAAAGTATAACTTACCTTTGATTCCTATAGTGTATGTTCATAGCCAAAAACCCGGTTGCGAGTAATATCCCTAAAATGGAACAGGAAACTAATACAGAGTAAATGGTAATATTCACTTGTGTGTGTTCGATGAGACGCAATGTGCGATCTTTTGGCGGATTCCTAGAAAAGATAAAATTAATCAATTAATCTTAGAACGGAATACCATTTATTGATATCTTACGGTTGTATCTCATGGATTGGCAAATTTAATTTCATCTACTCACTTTCCAATCCATTTAAAATTTTCGCCGATGGTAAGATCCAGGTGGTCTCTTTCAGCGCAATACTCTCCCACTTTTACTTCTCCCACATGGTCTCCTTGAAACTGTTTCAGTAGAATAGACGCTTTGCGCTCGTTGTCATAGAAACGTACAGGTCCCTGAAAGCATATGTAAAATCTTTACCGAGTGCCTACTAATTCTTTCTAAGTTACTATCGTCGTTAAATACGTCCTAAATAAAGGTTGCATAATTAAACCTTTGAAATTGAACAATGATATCATTTTAGTCGAAATGAATGAATTTATATACCTCAACGACATTGCTTTACCACTACAATACGATGTAAAATACCAGCGCTTATACATCACAAAGATAATAGATAAAATAATGTGCCAGACAACCACAGCAATGGCCTGGTCTCAACTAAGGAATTCCCTGTACTATAAATACCCGAAGAATAAATTTATTCCGGGACACTATCCGGAATGTATAGACCAGGAGCATTTTAGAAAAGTCATTTCCAAATTGGTTCTAACCAGAATCGAACTCGGGTCCTAATCGTCCAGCGTCCACGGTGCAAACCGTTGGACCACTTAGGTCGACAATATAGGATATACTTACCGTGACTCCCTCAAAGGACACATTGCTCAAAGCATCCAAGAATAACTGTTCCCACTCTTTATCTCGATATCGGAAGTCCTGTACAGTCTTCTCCTTGTGCTTTAACTTCACTCGTTGTGCGACGGTCTGTATGGCTAGGGCCATTGCCCAAATTCCTGAGAAGTAAATAAATATTCGTATAAAATTCTTCTCAAAAACATGGTTCGGGTGTGCAATTCCTTTAAGTCTTACCATCATAAGTGTAACCATGAAATCTAGAATATTCGATGCCTCTTCTTCGATCGTATTCGATTTGATAATCTTTCGCTGTCTGCAAGAAAACCATTAACATTATTTTTATTCAAGAAAAAGTGGATCAATGCTATATTCACAAAATTACTTGTACATTAACACTATAACAATCTATTTATCAAACATAGATTAAATTCTTAGAAATGTTTATGATTTTGTCATTTACTGTTTTCAGCGACTTAACAAAGAGGAGTGAAGTAAGTGAAAGTAAATCTATTGCTAAATCTTGAGACTGCCTGAAACTGAATTCAAAGATTTTAATCATAACTCTTGCATAACTTACTATTCCGGAAACAGTAGTCTCCCCTGTGGTAGACAAAGGTAGAAGATCCGTCAGTATGGCAGTGTCCAAAGACGTGGAAAGATCTTTCTTCGAGCAGGGAGCTCGACGTAACCACCACTTTTCGCTGTAAGTGCCTTGCAGGAGCCATGTGTATGCTCTCCCGTACATTTCTAGCCTGAAAAAAAAACAACAAAAAGTATTACATATGCAGAACTTGTTATATTAAATATTAACAAGACAAAAAACTTCTGGAAAAATTATCTAAAGTGATGGTATTTAGTCATAATCAAAGTTATTTCAGTGATAAAAACACAAATTGCCTATTTCATCTGATCCAACATTAAATATGTTTAAAGAATTGCAACTAATAATAAAACACGGAACTCTGGCTATTTTTTGCGGGTCAAATTATTTACCACGTCAAGGGCAAAGATGTCTGCGAAACACAGAATTGTATCCATTATTTCAAATATTATCTTTACAAAACAACGTTATCTTCACGTTCACTGTTAGAAACAAACTAGCGTGCTCTCGCGTTTCATCTAAGCTAGGCTATAAATAGAACGGCCCTCACTTCGTGAAGATCCATTTAACGTAAATCAACGCATACACTAGACGAGTAATCGACATTGAATCTCAAGAATGATTCCTGTATGTAGTACTATCTCTTTTCACTGACCAACTAACGAATGTAACGGTGATTATTGTTAACCGTTCTAGGTATATTTCAACTAATTAGCGTAGTGTATCAAAAGGATAAACAATACAGAGTCAATAATACGTGTTGATAGTTAAGCAAATAATTTTTCCTGAAATTTTTCTCCAGTATATTGCTTACAGCGCTAATGACTAGTAACAGACTTCCTGGCTTACTTTTCGTTTTTTTGTGACCAAACAGCAGAGATTATGACAGTAGTCTCAGTCAGTTATTAACCTATCTGTATTTGAACGTAAACTTGTACACAATCGATCTGAATTTCAATGTATGCAAACCTATGTTTTCATACATTGAAAGGAGGAGAAAAAATCTCCAGCAAAAATTTTTAAATCTTCTTCCTTCTTATTTAAGAGCTAGGCTCTTGTCCGTGGAGGAATAATTTTCTCAACATAAACTTTTCCGCTTATCTGTTGTAATAAACTTCGTCTTGGAATTCTTCTGCTTTTCTTTCTTCCTGTCTTCCCTCTTATGATGCTTCCAAGAAATCTGTCGCGTTTGGTGACGTATCAGATGCCCAAACTTCTTTCTCCTTCAGTTCTGTCTGTGAAATTAATTTAGGTATACAACTAACAACACTTACTGGTAAGCCTCACAGAAGATCTTAATAGCCCAAGTCTCGTTGAAATTCCCCAGAATGATCCTGATGTCCTTCTCCTTGAGCTTGGTCAATGCAGTCCTGACTTCTGTGGCGAAGCTCTGGGTTTCCGCTATGTCGAAACCTGCTGTATCTAATTCCGCTACTAGACGGTTATGGGCCTAAAAATGAAATCAAATGGTATGTTCAGATAAAAATACAGTTTAGTTTCTGTAACTCAATTACGTGCTGTGATTTTCAAGGCTTTGTGTTTTTAAAAACTTTTTTGAAAGACTTTATAAACTGATCTAGGTTCATGGATAAATATCCAGCTTACATCCACTTTTAATTCTCCTGGTGTGGTGGACAGTAACTTAACATAACTTTCACTTACCAAAGCATATCTCGGCTCGTTTTGATAGATAGTTCCAACCCTGGTCCAGTTGAAATGCTGTAGCAGCCGGATTCTCGGCGCGTTGAAGGCGTTTTCCGATGGCACGATGCGAAAGAAGTTAGGGAATGCCTCCTTTGTAAACATAGGATGCGTGTCTGCGTATGATAACTGTTAGGAAACAAACACATCTGTAATTTTTAACAGGATTATACTACAATTGTTTTCTGAGATGAAGATGTCAAAATTTATGGCTCGGCAGATTTCTCTTGCGTGGTTAATATCTTACCTACGGTGAAACATAGACTTAATAGCAACAATTTTGAAGTAAAAACAAAAACACGTCTTGCATTCTTTCATTTTTCCATAAAGGGCGCAATCCTTATTGAACTAGCAATGAGCTCAGTAGCTCAACACAATTTTCTGTAAATTTTTGCGATGTAAGTCATGTCATGTTGCGCCGGAAGTGTGATAGCAAGCTGAGTTAGATTTAAAAGAAAATAGCCTCTTGTATCAGGCAAAACCTGGGGTTTATACCTTTCCAATTTACGAATATTACTCGTATTGAGCAAAATATTAAGGTTTTAAAGTCTTGCCTGCGTAAGATGCCAATGCTTGGATGCCTTCGCGATAGGATCAGTCACGTGTGTGCACGCAGCACCGAACAGCATCAACTTGTGTGGTCCGCTGTGCATCATGTCGAAGAACGACTTCACACCTACTGCTGCGTTACACTGTGGGAAGCAAAAAAGAAAAACATATATATAAAATCAGTTACAATTGTGTTGAAGGTTAAATTTTTAGAAACGCCTGTCATGGCATAGTATAAATAAGACAAGTAGTGTAACTAGCACCGTGTACGGACGTACACATTCGCATAATCTCGCGGTGCACTCGTGTCGCACAATGCGGGTCGTCACACACGCCATCCATTATAGAATTGAAGCGCTCCATGCTTAAAAAATGACATCAAATAGTAGACGTGTTTAGTATTGTGTTTGTGTTGTTGGAATACTCTTACTCTCATAATCGAGATACCAAACCGCGATGCTGGCATAAGAATATCGTTAAGTATCAACAGTAATGCATTTCACAAAAGTTATTTCAACGTCGTACGAGAATATTGTGATGAATATCTTTTTTTTAAATTATGCTTACAACCTGTAGGAACGATTAAAATAATAATGTAGTATCTGAGTCTTCATTAATTTTATTTTTAACCGACTTCAAAAAACGAGTAGGTTCTCAATTCGGCTGTTTTTTTGAGTGTATGTTACGCAATTACTCCGGCCGTTATTTGTGAACCGATTTTGATGGTTCTTTTTTGTTGGAAAGAGAATACCTCAGTGTTACCTCCCATTGAAATTTGAAGAAAATATTTAACATATGGGTGGCAAACTAGGTGATGAATTCGGTTTCTCGTACTTTCCGCTAACGTCAATATAACTTGGCAAATAGATGTCGTTCCACGAACTTGTGGAACATGTTTCTTTTTTATAATTAACTTTTATTTTAAAAAAATATTTTTTTTTATCTAATACAATTTTTGTACTAACAGTAGCATAAGATAAATTTGTAAAATGGACTGTAAATTGTCTGATATAAATGATTTTTGTTTTTTTTTTCTTTTTTTTTCAATTATGTGACAACCCTACGCACCAAGCGACATTATTAGCCCCCTTTATACACTCATTCTCACGTGATCAGGAGCGTACAGAATTGCGCGCGGGAATGCCTGCACGCGTAATCGTGCGCGATTACCTACTGTTAGAAGTTTATTATGCTAACGTTCTTTCAGAGCGTCCACGTAAAATGCAACTTTGGAACGCACGATTGCGCGCGCGACTGATGTATGCAATCGCAGTCTTTTCCTTTTCGTTCCTTAGAGTGTCTGTGTAAAGCCCGCTATAAACGCGTCGAATGAGCGGGAGTTGGTCTACTTGTCTTTTTATATATACTATGGTCATGGTATCTTACTTCAGTATCATTCCACCACATATGTAGCCGGTAGTTCCTGAGCACAGCATCGTGCTCGTTGACGTGGTCTAGCGCCAGCTTCACACTCGGCATCACCCCGCGACCTACGGCAGTGTTCACGGGATTTTGACATAAAAATTAAAGGACACATCGCCAACTCTACAAAACATCTGTAAATGGTATGACTGCATGGTGGTTAACATTGTAATGATACGACCTTTTTCATAGTCATCCTACCTTTACCTTTTATTACCCTTTTCTGGTTCCTGGCCATTTGTTTCGAAATTTTGAATCATTCTTTAATGCCTTGTCATTCTCACTTTTTTTCTTTCCGTCGTCGCTCTCCTACTCTCTGCCTCCGTGGTCGAACGGTTACCATGCCGGACTGCCACGCAGAGGTCTCAGGTTCGATTCCCGGGCCGGGAGAAATATTTGTATGGCCTACATTTATTCCTCTCGTGATTTTGGGTGTAATTTGTGGTTGTTTATGTGTGTGTCCATGGCACTCGCGACACAGGGTTTCCCTAGTGCGGGGCTATGTTGAGTGTGTGCGTAATTATTATTATTATTACTCTCACCAAATTCTCGAAGAGGGAGGACGTGCGTATGAATCCTTCACGTAAACTCAACCTCGCGTAATCCAATTGTTTTAAAGCATTGGATATCTTGTATACAGAGTAAGGGTAAGTGGCGTAAGTGTCTGCACTGTTTGTTAATGTTTTATAATGTAGTTTTTTTTTATTATGTTTATTTTGGTTACAGCCTGTTCCCTTTCTTTTCTTGTTTATACGTTTTCTTCTGGCTATACAATAAATTAATGTGGATCGGAGTACATAACCTATTTTATTGTCGTGACACTGGCGACGGCACAACTTGACTATAACGCCCCAAATAAAGCTCCGGGCCTTTTTCTTTCCATTACAGCCATAGCCGGTGAGGGTTTTTGTGTCCCAAATAAAAAAATGGCCGGCGGTTACTAAGTACTTACATCCCGATTACACTACGAGTAGTGTATATAAACTAATACATCGCTATGATAAAAGTTAATCTAAGTAAGATACCAGTATTGGAATTCTCGACTCCTTTCCCGAATGGAAAGAAGCCAGCGATGTAGACATCGGTCCTTCTGTTGAGTATGACATCCAGGTTAGGCTTCTGCGGTAGCGCGGTACTGATGCTGCTCAGGCTGCTGACAGTGCTGATCGCGAAGAGGAGTAGTGCTGACATGGTGGAGACTGGAAACATATCGACGTGGAACTTTTAGTTTCCTAATACACTTTGATTTATCCACTCAATTGGACATTTTAGTAGCTATTTCTACCACCAAACAGTAATGTGAGCATGAACGATGTTTTTCTTAGAAAAACTCATGGTTATTTCCAAATTCCGACACCCGATTTCGAATCCACGGCCTCTGTTTGAAAGGCAGTAGCTGAAACCGTTAGGCTACCACGGCTTTTTCATTAAAATTCTATAAAATTAATATTAATTCTAACTTCATGGCGAGACCAATGTCATAGAAGGTTCCTTTTCTTAGACTCTTGAAAGACCCAATCCCTAAGAGCGTCTCGCACTACGTCCAATTCCGAATCCGAGAAATGACTGTCCGAATTGTCACACGGATAATTTTATCTCCAGGTGTACAAGCGATATTCGTATTTTTTCGGATTTCGCCCAGGGTAGTACTGCCACCTTACCTATTTATGCCCCCAAGCAGTAATGTGAGCATTAAGGGTGCTGGTGAAATTACAGGCGCGTGGGACTTGTCAACTTATGTCTCAGGGTGACGACCGCGGTGCAGTACCTCTCAGATCTTTACGATTTAAAGCTCTACAGGTCAGGCGTGTCGCTGGACACCAAGCGCACGACTTGTGCGTCCTGTCACTTGGAATCGTAAACAAAAATTACCTAGAGCTATCGGTACTTAATAGGAGTTCCCGCGACGTTGCAAGTCCTATGTGTCTTGAATTTCACCAGCACTTTTATCCATCAAAACTGGAACGCAGTAATGCTCATTTACTGCTTAGTGGCAGAAGTAGGTAAGGGGGCAGTTCACAAGGAGGTTTAGCTGCTACTATTATTCCCTACATAAAGCTATCTAGTAATTAGACGGATATAATTAAATAGACTTCATTTAAATGATTTCCGATATCAAGTCCAATTTTTTATTTACATACGAATCAAAATGTATTAAAATCCTGAAAACCTGCTTACTTAAGCAAATATTTATATACTATAAGCAATTGCCAAAATACGTCGGTTAATAAGATAGCAAATATCACTTACATTATCACCAAAATCGACGAATGAATTTCACGTAAGCCATGTGCTGGGCGCAATGCTGTAATATGCTGAAAACCTTTTTATTTCACTACATTTCTTTGAAAAACCTATTCGTTTCATTACTATATGAACAAGTTAGCATTTTGTATTGAAAATTTTCACACGAAAACGAAGGAAAACTATAGAAATCATATTAAAACGAGCTACCTTTTTAGATTCGCAATTTCGAAATTTAGTCTATTGAATTCTTTACTTTGTACCACAAAAAGGAACTCTATTGCATAGAAAATAAATACCACAATGGTTAGCGAAACTGTTCTAAGAATTTCCAATTTCACTACACTAAAGATAAAAAGTAGAATTTATTGATATTGAAAATTCTACTGTGATGTTGAAGTATAAAGCTCATACTAGAATGGATGTTGTTACGGTCTATATTTGAAAATGGTACGCAAGAGAAGGCAAACACGCAAAATTAGGCTTTCATGGTGTAAATCGATAGAAGGGGGTTTGACGGTTAAGGGATGGGAAATACGACGTCGATAAATTTTGGTTATTTATATATTAGTGTACCGTTTATATGAATTGTAAAAACCAGGAACATAAACAAAATATACTTTAAGCGCCTGATGTATTTAAATAGCAGATTTACTCAATGTAGTGTATTTTGAAACAAAAATACATACATACATAAGCTCACGCCCTAGTCCCAGAGGAGGGGTAGGCAGAGACCACGGAACGCCCCTTTGCTCTATCCTGACACAAAAATAATAGGAACATTTTTTATTTCATCGTTATGACATTCTTGTATGAGGTAATAACATTTTTTAGGAGGTATTCCAAATAACTAAATTTAAATTGACAAGGACAACTGTTTTTAGAAGACTAAAATTGGTTTTTTGTCAAGACTAAAGAAATATTTCATCGACAGCCTTGATATCTCATCCTTAAACTTTCTTCATTGCGCATGCGTGAACCCTGGGCGTGCCGTGTTGGTAGCTTGACCAGTCGGCTAACATTGGGTTCCTTCCTAATATCCCACAAACGCCTGTAAACATAAAACTTTGCCAGAGTGATATAAATGTACCTTCATGGAATAAGCTAAAAAGATTTTTTTAATTTATTGTGTCATTATTTTATGACATTTATTGGTTATGCAAAAAAAGGAGTCAATACCTAAAACAAATTGAAAATCTGTAATGTAACTCATGCAGACGTATTGATGGATAAAACTGTGAAACTAGTTATGTACCTATAGCCTTTTTTCTAAGTTAGCAATGCATATAAATCAATGTTTTCTTTTTATGTACCATAATTGTAACGCTAGTTCATCGTCAACCCATCAGTATAATCATTATGCAATTTATTTTGTCTACACGTGTTCTTCAGGCGAAATTCGTTAAAGTAATTAAGATATCATACAAATAAATTTCTACTTTAAGATAATGTAATATGACCGAAAATAGAATAAAATAGTCTACAAGTGACACTTCACCATTTTCGTTGCCATATTAATGAAAAAACGTTCCCTTATAATAGATTATTGCCAAGAGAAATGAAAGAAATTAGAGTAATTTCAAGTATTTTGTGTGTGTTAATATTTTAAAATTTTTTTATAATAACACTATTTAAGAAAATGTTGCATAAATTTAGCAATGGTAATGTAAGACACAACAAAATAATAGAAAATACGTTCCACTTGACGCAGAGTGTGTAAAAAAATTAAAAGTTCCACATAAGCGAAGTCTAACTGACAACACCGCCAGAATACGTGGCCCCGAAACTGTATGTGAATTTGTGTCTTGTTTACATTTTTTACCGTATTATTTCGCCAGGAAACCCTACAGGAGCCGTAAGTACACAAAAACGAATATACATTCTTAATTTGTGTAAATTTTGACTCCCAGAATTCTTGTTTATCAAAGTGAAAACTATTTACGAAAATACGACCGCAGCTGTCAAAATTTAAATTCTAAGTTTTTGTGGTAGTTTTAGATATTACAGCGATGTTTTGTTGTTAAATAACTGAAAATATGCACTTCTTTTCGTCAGACAAAACCTATTGCTTCCGTTTAAGTAAATTTATTGGAAAAAATGTATTCATCAGCACGTAACCGATGCTGTCTGTTGTGGATTTTTCTTATTAGATTCCAGGTTTTGACGTTCTTATAACCTAATCTAGCATAATAAACTACTAAACTACTCATAAATAAAGACTGCACGGTATAATTTTTCAAGAGTAACAAAATAAGGCAAGTAATATCTATACCTTCTTATCATTTAAATATGACCTACATAGTTTTGTTATTGGGAGATTATAATTGCAATAATAGTGTAGCATATAACAATATAAACAAATAATTGTGTATTTAAGTACATACACAAATGTGTAAATGCTTATATCAATAAATAGAATACAGAATCACAATAACCAAACTTGTGATGTCACAACTTATGACTGTGGGGTAATGACTTATTTCAACATTAATCACTAATTATAATTACAGTTATCATAATGATTAGTAAACACCTGAATGTTAAGTTTTTAAGGTATGTAATATAAGAACAATTAAAGTCTACTATAGTCTGTCTTTTTTGAAAATGGAGCAAAATGACAGTGTGTACAAAAGTGCTGCCCGCTTGCAGGCAGCTAGTGATTCTTCTTTAAATGTTATGGCCCCATCAAAGTAATTGATATTTTGCCAATGTTAAGTTGAGGAACACACGTGTTTTTATTCAAAAATTGACTGGTAAAATTCAAAAGAATTAACTGAGAGGAGAATCTCCAAATCTACAACTACTGTAGTTGATAAATATTCTAAAGACTATCGATTGAATGTTGGTCATGCTTATGCAATATACATAGCCAACCTTGCTTCATTTAAATCACCATCTGCCTATTATTCATCCAACTGCTGCGCACACCTTCATTTGAATTGTCAATTTTTTAAGTTCATACATACATTCAATGAAGAAGGCAATAACGCAAATAGTAATAATTAGAATGTCGTAACATTCATAATTCAGATATTCTTGGCATGGTTTTATCTTTCACAGTGTATTGATGAAACTGTTGATAAAAATTGCACGACTATGTCAAATTTAATGAAAAACTGGCAACCCTGCAAATTGTCACTTAGCAAACGACACCACTGAAGTCGAAAATAGGAGGTTTTTTGAATTTTAAAATACTCAAGTCAATATAAAACTAGAATATCAATAAATATAATATAACTAACACACGTACAGTATTGTTATCCACAAATAGAGCACTTTACTTGGTACTTGGTGTAACGGGCTGGTGTCCACAACTCCATGTCAAGGCGCCAATTTTGCATGTGGTGGCCTACTTGTGCCACTCAAGCTCCTCCAGGAATCTGAATGGATCAGGAACTTCTTGATTTACTGAAGACTTCGGGGAGTGACCTCGGCACTCTAAAGTGCTTCTCCCTGTAGTTGGCCACGCCGGAGCATTGTAGTAGGATGTGCGCAGCCGTTTTCCTCCCCTCCATGCACACTCTACACAGGCGGCTGTCTTTGATACCTAAATTGAACAGGTGTTTATTGTATGGACAATAACCCGTAAGGGCGGCATCGGCCGAGTGTGAGGGTCGTATTCCAGAACTCTACTCAATGCTCAAGTCAGGACTTGAGCAGACTTGAGTGTGATTTCAATCGCTGGAAATACGACTCTAATGCTTATTTCAGTGCTTTAAATCATACTCAAGTCCTGACTCGAGCATTGAGTAGAGTTCTGAAATACGATCACCGACGATACGATGCGGTCTTGTTTGCTAAGAGATGAAATGTCAGTTTACTTCCATCTTCAAAAGGACAGACTATAGAAGACTAGGACAGTTCTGAAGTTATTATAAGTTAAGATACTTCCAGTACTTTTGCAACCCAGTTATATCTTGTACAAGTCCTGCAGAAATTGAGCAGGGTTTTTTAGCTTTGAGTATGCATCCTCTGCTTGCCTAAGGCTTGTGACTTTAAGAAAGCAAGGTTCACTTTACATGGCATATACTAGAGTTATTCATCTATATTGTTAGGTAGTATATATATGTATGTAGTAGTTATTCACAATGAGAATAATCTCTTGAATATTTTGTAAACACATTCAATTTAAATAGCTTGTATTTGAACAGCCGATGGTACAGACAGTGTTATAGTTATTAAGATATGTAAGGTTAGGTAAGTCGTGTAAGGTTGAGTAATAGTAATATTTCCTTTAATGGTATTGGTTTTGCAATAGACAATGCTCCTTGCATCGTATTTCACCAGTCATACCATGAATCAATTCTGCTTTTCACTATGAGTCCATTACATGGAGATGGCTTAGGCCATAGGGACTCTTGCCCAATATGGAACTCTCACACCAGGTTGTGATGTGAGTCATCACGATGACTCACAACCTGGTGTGAGAGGAAAACAGTCACACAGGTTATATTATGATGTTTTCCTTTGTAGATTACATCCTATGGTATCCTTCCATTAATATGTTCTATTATGTTCATGTTTTTGATACCTGGTTTGATCAGGTTGAAAGCATACTTTCACTAGGTGGTGTTACGGTTTCATGAAATTCTAATTATGCACAATCTAAACCAATCACGACTATGGGACCGTAAATAGCCTGAAACATTGGTTTGTTTAAAAACAAAAACAAAGTATATGGATCAGGGGGAAAAAACAGTTTCATCAAAACTTAAGGCCTAGATAATGTTCGTCATCATCGTAGTTAACCCACTATACATCCCACTGCTATGCCCGGGCCTCATCTAAGGAGGAACCATAATCAGCAGATTTTCAACAGTTTACACAACGATGTTTTCCGTTACTGGGCTACTACTGTTCTGGCATGTTGATCAAGGTTGCCTGGCGTGTTATTATTATCAGCAACTCTTCTAGAATTTTGTCATACCTGGCACTAACAATGTTTTTTCTTCACTGTAAGCAAGAGTTATTGCTACTAAATATTCACAAATGTATGTAATCTAGATATTAAAGTCAACTTCTGAGCTGAGAAGCAACCATTGTCCCACTGGGCTATTACAGCAAGCAGTTATTATTGACCATTCATAGTCTCATTTCTACAATATCGATGCCTTACTATCTCAATCTCGTATCTTATACAGAGTGATTATTCAGGGGATGACAAAACTTTCTATTTATCTTAAATTTCTTATCATGGGTGTTAATTTGGATGCGAAATCAGCCTGTTACATTTGTATATACAATTCATTTTTATTGCATTACAGTAACTTTGAGCTTTAAGATACGAGTTTAAGAAAGTAAGGCGACGATATCTCACATTGAACACAGATAGAGTCTGTAGAATAGCATAATGCACATTAGTATTCAAAACACAGTAGTTCACACTTCATCAAGTGCATTGAGTGTATTTTTCTATACATAAATATAATTAATAGGGTAGTACCTATTTATTTATTATTTATTCCAAGGATAGCTTATCTTGGGTGCATGTTTTCTACAGGTTAAGTTAAAGTTATCTTTTAATGAAGAACAAGTTATTTTACCTAAACAGTAATCTTTTCTCTTCAGGTTTATCGGCTTCAAGCAAGATGATGAATCCACAATTCCCACCTCCGGGCCAAAATAATAATGTACCAGTAAACCCTATCCATCCTCCTGGTTCTCAAGACTACAATGGTGTCCAGAACGCCAACATGTTCAACCAGATACCTCCAAATGGACCACCAAAACCGTTTGACCATAATGACATGTCGCATAAAATGCAAAGCATGAATATAAACGGTCCTGGTTTCCCAAATGTATCAAACTCACAGCTGCCACTTGGTCAAATGCCACCAGCAAGTTTTCCTCCTACGTCAAACTTTGGTCAAGTGCCTCCAGGGCAAATGCCACCGGGGCAAATGCCACCAGGGCAAATGCCTCCACTGCAAATGGCACCAGGAAGGCCACCAGTCGGTGGAGCACAGTTTCCGCCTCAGAAACCTCCTCCCTCATCTACGCCTGGTCAGTTCATGCCACCACAGAGCCACACTCCTGATACGAGTAGACAGTTGCCTCCAATGAATCAAGCGAGTTCTCAACCCAGTCATGGCTCAATGGGACCACCGCAAGGATCACACCAAGGGCCACCACAAGGACCACCACAAGGTCCACCACAAGGTCCACCACAAGG